GGTGAATTTTTAATGATTCCTCGGATAACCTGGTCAACCTTGATATTTTACCAATAAACTATTACGGAACATATTTAGGGCCTTTACATTTACTGTCTACTGCCGGTAAATCATTTGCTTCTAAAGACAAATGAACGACCATCGAAAAACATGCTCCTTAAAGAAAGCATTGAATTCAAATCCACAAGCAATCTCAAAGTAAGGACATCGTAGCAAGCTAAATGTGTTTCATCTCAAAGACACTGCTGTTCTATATGTTAATTGTGTTCTGCCATGGTTTTCATAATATTGTCTTTCTACTAGGTTATTAAGATTCCACTGATGAGTGAGCGAAGTAAGCCGCTTAAATGGTAGAGATTTGCATAAGAAAGTTCGTTAAAATAACGCATGGTCTTCGCACTACTATTTCATCAGGTTTGTTTGTTTAAGATGAATTTAAAGCAGGCATGGACAGCAGAAATGATTAGAAACACTGGCGAAGGATGCCTTGCCCTTTTGCGCAGCGTCCATTTGTGTTTAAGACTTTACATGCACTTGTGGATGCAAGTACATTGGGCGAACGCAAAGGCAACTGGCAGCCAGGTCAGTTGAGCACCTGCCTAAATGGCTTCTTCAGCAGGAGAATAAGATTCCACGGTCTTCGATTACAAAACACCTCCTTGATAGTGGTCATTCGGTTGACTCCAAAACATCTTTTCAAGTATTAGTTCGAACAAGAACAACTCGTTTACTGCGCTACCTGGAGGCAGCTTACATACGCGGGAGAAACCCGACCTATGTAAGTAGTTAGAACACGTGGTCAACCTCAGCTTGCCCTGGTAGGCCTGAGCCCTTTTGATATAAGAAATCCCTCGACGTGTTAACTTTCCCACTTTCTTTCCTATTTTGCGTTTTGAATTTACTATTTTACTGATAAATCTACATGCCTTGCTGTTTTACATTTATTTTCTCTGTCCATGTTTCATCGCTGTAACGCAACGTGGCAGGTGTAAGAACACATCCTGGGTTCGTCTATGCCCCGGGGAGTCTAAGCGTTTGTACAAACGTTTTATGGAAGCACACCATTGGCTTGACCAAACGTATGGCCACTGTTTCTGTCGTTGCAATTATCCGCTGGCGTGGGAACATGAAGTGTCCCGCCGGCACTTTACAGATGACCCGGAATTTTGTTTGACGTCTACACAGTCGCCGCAGTCAGCCAATTTAGTCAGAATTGCCCTAGAGATGAACTTTTCCGCAATTTGATTTAACCAGGCATGATGGTGCTGTCGCATCCGATTGGGCAGGCGCGCAGTTGTTCGACCAGTATATTCTGCCCAAATGGAGCAAGTAAACGCGTAGATGTGCATTGACGAGGTCGGAAGAGGCAGTCTTTCCATACCCTCGAGGCGAAGAAGCGGAGTTTTTGTGAAACCAAGTGTTATTTTGGCGGCAAAGCGCGTGCGCGCTGTAACAGATTTATGCATTTTTTTGCTTATTATGCATGGCAAAATTTGCACGTAGATGTACAACCGAGCATTAACTTAAATATAGACAATAATGTTATTAATCATACCACCACGGGCGAGAGCGTCTTAAATTAGAAACGCCATCTAAAATCGCATTAGTGTGCAAGGGCAAAGTGATTCTAAATGTATATATTTGTGTACCGTCAGAATGTACTTAAACTGCAGTATTTTTCTGACAGTTTTCTTTTCAAATGTGTTCCTATAGACCCGCGATTATATACCATTTCTTTGATAATACCAGTACATAAATACATCTTTTAATACAGAATTACTCTAGTTTTGACTTGGACATTATGAGTACGTGTAATTTTTTCAGTAGCAGTATCATTATATTTTAGGGAAAGTAGGTGGGTACTTTTGAAATCCCTATTGGTTACATGCAGAGGATATATATGGAGGAAATGGAAAGGAAGTAGCATGAAAGAAATGCGAGGGGAATAGCAAAAACTGTACAGATGAACACTAAATGTCGTGCGTTAACAGAATTTAGAGGTACATTAACTTGCTTTGTTAATCAAATACAGCGAACAGTTGAGATACACTTCAGATACGGGAAAAGAAGTAAAATTGTTTAGTCTACAGGTATCCTGGTGAATGCGAACAGCGGTGTGCGACGTGGCCCAAACTTAATAGATTACATAAACACATATTACTTAACTGTTGGTAGTAGCGTCGCTATAACACTACATTATCAACGTTGGCTGCCTAGGTGGCCGTAGTCCGGCGTTATTGTCGTGCGCGCTACAATGCTGACCTAGCCTTCATTTGAAAGTATCTACCGAGCCCGACATAACAACATCCTCAGGCAAGGCATTCCAAGCTGCAACCACTCTGTTGGAGAAGAAGAACTTTCGGGTGTCTAGCCGGGCTCCAGCCACACGCAATTTGAGTGGATGGCCTCTCAGGTTAGTCGTAGTCGCCAACTCGAAGAAGTCTCCAAAAGCGAGGCAGCAGCCCTGATTGCGCACGATGCGAAAAGCTTGTATCAGGTTCCCACGTAGCTGTCTGTAACTCAAAGGAAAGAGGTCAAGATTAGCTAATCGCATTTCGTAGGGTAGTGACCACTGCCCAGATACAAGTTTCGTTGCTCGCCGTTGAACTTTTTCGAGTATGCCCAAGTCTTTAGCGCTCCAGGGTCGCCATGCTTGGATAGCAAACTCCAGATGCGGTCGCACAAAAGTTTGAAAGATCTGGGCGAAGCAGTCTTCATCAAAGTAGGAAAACGCCCGTTTGACATCGCCGACTTGGCCACCTTTGAACATTGCAGCGAAGGCTTAAGCGAGGTTGTGATCTATACACCCAAGTACTTCTGGGTGTCGACTTCTTGCAGTGGTTTGCCAGTCAGACGGTAGACCGTGTGGTTATCAGAACCGGTTCTGCCGCCGCGTAGGAAAGTACAATTGTTTACGTTGAACGGTAGAAGGCAGTCTTTCGACCATTGCTCAAGGTGGTCCAGATTTGTCTGCAGTCGCGCCTCGTCAGCTTCACTTCGTATGGTACTCCAGATCTTTATGTCATCGGCAAATATTGCGACATCGCAATTCAGTTCGTTTGCGCAGTCATTGACGTATGCGAGGAACAGTGTAGGGCCAAGAACAGAGCCTTGGGGAACACCACTCTTAACGGCAACCTCGGCAGATTGTTGGTCACCGACGTGGACGGCTTGAGAGCGGCCGATTAAAAAGCTCCAAATCCACATCAGAAGCTTACCTCGCACTCCTGCACGGCTAAGTTTGTATAGAAGGCGATGGTGAGGCACACTATCGAAGGCCTTTTTAAAGTCGATATAGATGGCAAGCACCATATCTCCTCTATCAACAGCCCTAGTCCAGTGTTCCAGACAGTAGAGCAGGTTTGTCACACAGTATCTGCCTTTTAGGAATCCATGCTGAGAATCTTAAAGCAAATGGTTTTGTTCAAGGAACTGCATTAGTTGTTGCTTTATTATCTTCTCATTAATCTTACAGCAACTGGAGGTGAGACTGACCGGTCTGTAATTGTTCGCAGAGACCCGACTTCCGCCCTTGTACAGCGACGTAATCCACGCCCACTTCCAGTCGGGTGGCAGATATCCGGTCTCGAAGGATGTATGAAAAAGCATGGAGAGTGGCTTAGACAACTCACCGGCGAGTTCCTTCAAAATCTTCGCCGGAATCTCATCGGGACCTGGTGATTTGGATTCCTTTAGCCTCAGCAACTCCGTCAGAACCATACCCTCAGTGAACTGGACGGTCTCTATAATTGGGGTGTCTTCGAAGGATTGAGCAGCCGAAGGGTTGAATCCTGTTTCGCTACTAAAAGCAGACCGAAAAAATTCTGAAAGGTGATCAGCTTTCGCCCTGTCGTCAGTTAGATGTTCGCCTTCAGCAGTCCTTATCAGGGGTATTGGGTCCTTGTTCCGCGTGCACTGCCTAATGTAACCGTAGAATAATTTAAGGTTCTCCGCGGCACGGTTAAGCAGATCCCGTTCGAATTCCTTTCTAGTTTTGAGAATAAGAAACTTGACTCGGTTTCTTTGAATTTTGTACGCGCATATAGATGTGGGGCTCTTGTCAGAAAGTGATTTTTTCCACAGCCGTCGTTTTTTATTCACTTCATTTTGTATCTGATGATAATGTGGAGACGTTGAGACGTATAAGAATTGATCAAAATAATCAGGAAAGCTGCATAGCTGTTTGACACACAGACCGTAGGCAACCCCCAGGCGTCACATAGTGAGACCGAAAGGCCCACTGCTATGGCAGGAAACGTCTGCAGTCATTTGTCCGATCTGGTATATTTGCGTACAAGGCAGCCTCGTTAGAGAGACCGGACGTGAAAGTTCGACCGCGCATCAGCGGTGCGGAGAAATAACGCCAGTCATCAGGTTGCGGCCCATTCGACGAGATGCGGCCACACAAGGGAATTCTACGAGACTGGAATCGTCGACGGAGATGACAATCGCGTGACCCACAAGCCAGTCTTTTAACAGGTTCATTGACCCCCTCCCCCTTCTAGATTCGATACTAAGACTTAGCCTAGGCGAAAGAGGCGCACTGGCGGACAATGTTCTCCACGCCAGGGCCGTCGGGACAGATTGATCAGCAATAATGACACCAACATTTAACACTCATAATGAAATTGCAACAATTAACGACCGGAATGTGGACCAGCGGCAATCATCAAACTAAGCGCGGAAGTCCTTGATGCAGTTGGTTCTTTCAATTTTCCCAGATGCGCGACAGCATGGCCCGTTGTATTCCATGAATTATGCAGTCCCTCGTACGTGAACCAAAGCACAAGAGGAAGGCAGTACTGGTGACACCGTTTGCATGGATTTCAAAAAGGAATTCAATAGAGGTCCTAATCAAATCCGCTTGCATAAGCTGGACTAAATAGGGGCTCACAACAGCCTCTTAATATGAATTGAGAACGTTTTCACGGAACGGTCCCAAAAAGTGCTCGTCGGGTTCCAGCAGTCCATAGAGTTGATCGTGATGAGCTTCGTCCCTTATGGCGCCGTTTTGGTCCCGCATTATTATTGGTCTTCATCAGTGAGTCGACGGTCTAGACGTCGATGCTACTCTCTTCGCTGAGGACATCAGATTGTGGAACGTTGTTCCTAGCACGCCAGTCAAATGCCACTTGCAAGCTAACTTGTACCAGCTTGAGAATCGGTCGAATCGCTGGCGTATAACCTTCTTCAAGTTAATAATTGCAAAGTCTGCAACCCAAGGACTTACCTTCTAACAGATTGACCACGACAATTATTTGACATTCAAAATGACTTGGGTGACTGGATCACTTCTGTTCAAACCAACACTAAACTATACGAAGGCGCTGAGTCGGCTGTGTCTTCATTACAACTCATAAGGAGTACCCTTACGGAAGTTGACGAACACAGTTTCTACAAAATATTAGGAACATTATTGCGGCCGCATCTGCAGTATGCTGTACAGGCGTAGCGACCTTGTACTGTCAATGACTTTAACGTCTTACTGAAGGTCCGGAGGCGAGCGAGAACAAATATTAAGAGTTTGGGGTCGCCTTCCCTGAGAAAACTGCCGGTTGGCTCTGAACCCTTCTCCCTTCCGACAGGCAGGTACAAGAGCACCTCATACAAACATTCCGCATTATGAATGGACTGGGTCGTTGCTTAAGCCCTGATGATTTTTAGTTTAGACTGCCACACACTGTGTGCGTTCTTATCCCCTCAAACTACGCCTACGAAAAGCATGGAGTTGTGTCTGCAAATGTTTATGGTCACAGACTGGTCACACGGTGGAACGTCTCATCCACAGTTGTTACCGACTTCTCATGTGTGGATTAATTCAAGACTATGTTGCACCTAACTCTTCCGCAGCTCTCACATGTCATGAGTTCGTTTTCAAATTAATCTGCTACTATCTTACTCGCAACTGTTAAGTACAGTTAGCATTTGTATTTTCACATACGTCGGCCAACAACTTGACTAGTTCACTAAGTTCACTAAGCCTCAGTTTTAGCATTTTTATGCATGAATGTTCACTTCGATATTTTGCAACCAGTCGGTATAAATGGCGTTAGCCTATCCTTTCATACTAAAACTGAATTGAAGTGAAGTGAAATATCTATCACAACGGTGGTAAAACACTGCCCTGATGATGTTGTTGATGGTGATGATGACGGCGGCGGCGACGACGACGATGATGATGATGATGATGATGATGATGATGATGATGATGATGATGATGATGATGATGATGATGATGATGATGATGATGATGATGATGATGATGATGATGATGATGATGATGATGATGATGATGATGATGATGATACAATACACGAAGTACAGTATCGTCTTTGGTCTGGCCTTAATGTCATGTTTTCACAGATGCCTGGGAGCTGTTCCTGTCCCATGTTCTGCTGACTTAGCCCATTTAAAAGTGATTTTGTTTTGTAATAAATAGCCATAATGCGAATGTATGCCGTATAATCAGTTGTACGTATGTAACGATGGGGAAGGTTGGGTAAAAGCGACCATCTTCCATGTATTCTCCTGCGACATTCGTTAGGCCAACTCATGTTAGGCCGTCGCTGAAAGTCCAATTAGTGCGTGAAAGAAGCCTGCAACCGCTGATATAGCCTTAAGGTGTTGGAGTCCACTGTTAAAGGGATTATTTCTAGGTTACGGACTTTTTGGGTGCCATCTCCCGGTTGTTACCCGCCTAAGTTACAGGAACCAAGCCCTACGAATGTTTTGACGTGCTTACGTAACTCTGTTGCACATTAACGATGTTCCATCGCATATTTCGTGCCAGAGTAGTCTATCCGTTAACTTACTCTGCCAGCAAGCTACCGGGAGTTCAGTCTCCCAATGGGTTGACTTCCAGGGCAAAGAAGAGCGTGTGTTAAACTAAAACAGACGTCGTAATTCGGAGCAAATAAACGCGTCGGCGTTCACCCTGTGTGAATGCACGACATGTTTTTCACGCACTTCGATCAAATATTTTAATTTTTTTTGTTAGAAATAAAACAAATAATTATAAAAAGACTTAAATGCGCGTAAGCATTATCCACACTATTGTTGCCCGTTGTGGGCTTGAATTTAAGGCTAAGGCTGTAGCGTCAATTTATGTTAGTTGGGGTATTATCTGAACGAGGGTCGCGTGCTTGTTTTCGGGTTTTAGAGCTTGACTTAACGTTAGGTCTAAGCCCGATATTGCCTTAAATAGTTACATGTTGCAGACGTCATATTTAATAGATGGCTTTGGTTGGCGTTAGTTGTCTCATTAACGGGTTGCCCTCCATGCATATCCATTAGAGCGGTTTCGAGATTAAAACTACTGTGCCTAAGGCATCCTTTATCTGTGCTTTCGCTTCTTTCATCATCGGTTCTATTCGCTGGCTGCCCGACTCCTTTTGAAGCAACAACAGTCTTTTTAGGTACGCACAGCGATTTCTGCTTCACACGTATGCAGGGATTTCGGCAGATCCCAAACTCGATTTGACTATTTGCATGGAGTGAACATTGGTTTATTATCAGAAATATCCATGATAGTTATTAGCAGGTTTTACAGTCAGTTGTGGACAAATCTGCATCACTAAAAAACTAACATCTTAAAAACGGTCATATCCACGCCAAATGCGTGGCCCATATCCATATATCCATCCAGCAAGTCAGTGTTGAAAACAAATAAGAATAATGTGGTCGGTGGATGGGGAGGCGAATCCTTGCGGCGTAATCAAATGGCGTACCTAATTGCAAAATATGCGTATGCAGAACTTTTATCATCGTTCACAAGATTGAATGCGAAGCGACAGGCGTAAATGGCTATGATTCCATCAAATATGTTAATAATTGGGGTGACGATTTTCGGCAATGTCGGTGATCGCCACCGGAGCCGATGGTAACCCACGCCCTCCACGAGTGACCTATTATTTTATTCTGGTAAAAGAGCATTAGAGGATTCCGAGGTAAAAGGACATTGTGCTTGTTAATTCACGTTTCATAGCGGCCGAGGCGGTTATAAGACAACTAGAGTTGCTGGTTTTCTAAAAGCACAGATCAAAATTATGGTTTCGATTTGTTTGTGATACTTCATCGTCACCGAAAGTGATCACGTTCTGACATTCAAAGGACCGACGGCGAAGATGCGATCACTGGAACAAAAAAATTTATTCACCTGACGGGAACGAAAAGGATCACTTGCTCACATTCACAGAGCATCTCAAAGCCGTCTTCCTAAAGATCCATTTTACGATGGAAGAGGAAGGGAACGACGCATAGGCTGTGGTAGCCTAAAACCAAAAGGTTCAGGAAGGCAATAAACACGACTGAAGTATTGATTTTTAACAGAAACCACCCAATAAGTCGCATTCGCAGTTGCGTAAGGACAACATACATGCGTGCTGAGACGCATTGCAGTGTGACAGGATACAAGGTTACTTAATTAAGACATCGTCGACGAGTAATGAGAGCCGACGGCTACCCGCGCAACATTTTTAACCAGTATGTACAAAACAAAACTAGGCACCGCGTCCAACCGGCCCCAAATTTTGACTGGCTCCTCCGTACGTGAAGAACCTCTCGGAAGCTGTCTGTCATCTTCTCACTCCGCTTGAATTTGGGGTTGCACAGAGGCCGGAAGCAACCATCAGGCGAAACGTGATGACGCCGAAAGACCCACTGGCACGGCAGGAAACGTCAGGGCTCGATTATCAGATCCGGTGCAGTTGCGGACAAAACAGATAGGTCGGAGAAATTGGGAGATGACTCCGAACGCAAATGGCCAAACACGCAGCAGCGGTGAGGAGGAAAAACGCTAATTATCTGGTGGCAGCTCATCTCACGGGAGCCAGCCGTATTTTCAAGTTTCAAGAGTTCGAAATCATTTCAAGAGTTGACACCAGCGTGGGCGCGAGCTTCTCGAATCATGGTTCTCAGGCTGCAACCTATCAACAAATGAGACGCTGTTCCGGTGCAAAGGAATTTCTTGCACAGGGAAATCTGTCAAGTGGAGATGGCGTTGGCGAATGGCAATCTTTATGACAATGGGTTAATTTGCCGAGTAATCAGCACGCCAACATCCAAAATGAGAATGAAACCGTGGCAGTCAACAACTCGGACGTCGACTGACGAGTCACCATGGAACCAATTACGAACCCCATTGGTAATCGTAAGTGACGGTAATTATAGGACGCATGCCGCCTTACGGCAAATACGTGCTATAAACGCTGCAGGCTGGTTCCCTTTCTATGCCTAACTGTGATTGTCTATGCTGAGGGGTTGGATTCGGAATCTGAAAAGTCAGGCCAATAAACTTATTCTCCCGGCGATCTAGCCATTGTCCCCGTCATCATCATTTTAAACACTGGAGATCGTTTTGGCTGCCAAGGGATGTGTAATGGAAGAGGAGATCACATTTCGCCTCAGCAGAAACTGCCCGAGTCCTCCAATGATTGGAGCACTTATTCATGATTGCCATCAAAAGCTGCTACGTAAAAAGCCTAGAAATTGATATGCGCAAGTCACATTTAGTGGCAACTACTGATGAAGTATCACAAGATATTGAGCAAAATATTTTCAGTCATTCTCGAATGGTATGTGCCGAAATGGATAAATAAGTATCAGCGACAATGCCCAAACTGACATCGAGCAACTCACCGAACGACCTTCTTCAATACCTTCCCTCTTAATCCATAACCAACACGCATCTTACAGTCTTGGGACCCGTAGCCACTTCCAACACAGCAGAGGCCGCTCAAGCAGATTTCATTGGCGCTTTCAGTTTCATTTTATTAAGGAAAATATAGGCGAGCGCCTTTCAACTCCCAATTGATTGCAAGCCATAAAAGAAAAGCATTCATAAGTGCGAAGGTGAAAAAGTGATTTTGAACATAATCACGGACAGCTGACAGCCAGTCGAAAAAGAGTAATCATTAACGGTTACGTGTTCATCAAAGTAGTATAAATGCGTATGGGGTAGTGCCTGATTATGTGGGCGGGTGTGAGTCTGGTGATTGGGAAGCCTTATACGCGTCAAGTCTACACTTGAAGGAATTCACACAGGAGGCGATTAAAACATTCCAATGAGCAACCACTCTGTTACTGAAAAAGAACTTTCGTCCATTGATTCTTGATTTCCCTGCGTGTAGTTTTAGGTGATGTCCGCGCAAAGTGGGCGTGCTAGCTTGAGTGAAATAATCAGTGGGATATAAACAACAGTCTACGCCGTTGATAATGCGAACCCCGAATCTTAACCACTTACATCTAGGGATACGAAGCAAGATATCGCAACACAGTTTACTATCGAGTAGATGGCATTTCGGTGTTTCTGCTAGAGCTTCCTGCGCGTAGGGTCCTGTGCGGACACATGCAGGACAATTTTACCGTTGAATCCGACGTTGTCCGCGCTGTGTCTCAGAACAAAGACAACAGAGAGGGGGACTTGCAGGTGAGTTGGGCTAAAGAAATAATAAAATTGCGCACAATCTATCGCACTCTTTGCTTCTTAAACATAAGACCCCTCTGTCAAGGCAGAGGCAAGAAGACCGACGACGTGAGAGTGTGAAGTTGGTTGGCACAGCTTAAACCCACGCCCAGGCGTACAACCACACAGGACTTCTCCGCAACAAACACTGACAGGAATTTTATATCGGCGGAGTAACCTAGCATCCGGGTATTCTATCACTATAAAATGTTGGCATTTCGAAGGACGAGACACGATCTCTGGGACAAGAGCTTTACTAGCCTAACGTTTCGGCTTCCTGCTCGAACCCATTATCGGAGACAAAAGCAGATACGGGTGGTTCATGCACAAGGGGCAGCAGTATATATAGGATGCTGTCGCCATGCTACATGAACATTCACGGCTCCCTCCTTCATCCGGAATCGTCGCGCTTGGTGTGCTTATTTCTTGATGGCCGACATTCGCGTCGTTACTTGCTGCAATTCCATTACGTGCATTGGGTGTTGGCGTGATGACTGCTCAACCATCTGATCCACCGACCCCGGAGTTGGGTAAATTGTTCACTTTTGCGCCCCAGGGTGGCTACTTAATCCGCGTACGCGAAGTCACAGCACCGATACGCGGCTGTCATCTCTTGCGAGAATTTTGGCGTCGTCGAATTTGAATGTATGGCCGGATGTCGTCGAATGAGCTGCAACTTGTGAGTTGGCGTCATTTATCCGCGCCTCTGCAGCTTGTTCGGCCATTCAAGTTCGGAACTGTATTTCGGTTTCTCCGAAGTAGTTGCTTTGTCCGCAACTGCACCAGATCCGATAAACATTTCTAGCCGTGCAGGTGGATCTTTCGGTTTAATTAGCTGACGCTTGATTGATGCCTCCGGTCTGCGTGCAACTCCAACCCCAAGTGTTGCGAGAAGGCGGGTGACAACTGTCGAAACATTCTTGACAAACGGAAGCGCTCGCCAAAATTTGGTGTGCATTAGGGTGGGCCTTTCGTCCTTTTTCGTACAAACCGGTTGACAAAGTTGATCGGGAGGCCATCGGCTTTTAAGTGCCGTCGGAGTTATTGTAGTTCGGCAATCTTGTCTTCCGGCTCACTGCAATGTGCTTCGACACGCCGATAGATCGTCCATGCACACTTGCGTTTTGGCTGATTGGGTGGTTGCTGTTGAAGATCAGTACTTGCATCTTATTTGTAGCTGTCCTGAACATGGGTCTTTAGTCCACCTCAATCTTTGCTTTTTACGCGGGCATCGAATAAAGCCAGCTGGTTGTTCTCTACCTGCTCCATTGCTTATTGAATTTCCGGCAAGATGGCGTTGATATGTTCTTTGAGTGTCAGCATCTGATCCCGTTCGATGACGACGAATGTGTCATCCACATAACAGGACCCAGAAACTCGCTCTGCGGTTTTGGAAGACCGGCGACTCTAAGAGTGGCAGCACCTCCTCGGCAAGGAATCCCCAAATCGCATACTTTTGCCCACGGCCAAGAGTCGTTCACACGACTGTTCGACGGTCGTTTCCGACGTTGCCCACCGCGTGCCACACAGCAAGGTGCATCAGGCAGAATGAATTGTGCGTGGATTAGTTTATAGTGATAGTAGAATGGCGCAGCAAATTCCGCACTCCTTCCTCTCCATTTTCCATCCGAGCCCGGTGCTCTCCTAATTGACGACTATGAGGACGCCTAATTTAATCTCAGGCTGCAGTTAGTTTATACGTTTCAATGGGCATCAGTCATCTGACGCGCTGAGTTCAATTCCTGACGACGACCTCCTTCTCTGACGATGACTATCTAGAGTATCTTAAGTCTGAAAAATAGGTCTTCCCAGGAGCGCAGAAGAGACATGGGATCTGAAGCATCTTGTTGATTATGAATATAATATTTCGGCATTTGTTTTCGGAAGTGGGCCGTTTCCATGAGCAAAGTACTGTGGCTGAGACACCAGCCTTACTGATCCTGCACCACAAACATGATGTCATTCAGAAAATTTCATTAGCTACATACGTATGTCACCGTGCTATTCCCAGTGGACGATGCGCCGGCTGACGGACGTTTTGTGTATTTGCTTTGGCTGAGATACACTGAGAAGGAATCAGTTATCATTGAGATATTTTACATCAATTGTCGTCTAACGTGACAGTCTACATGCTTATAAATGCTAAAATCAGTAATGTTTCCGTGGCAACCAGATCAACCTGCACTTTTTCTGTGCTATTGTGGTGAGGTACCTGACTAATTTAGCTTTGACAATTTAGTCCCATTTTCTTTGACCGCATTGCTTGCTTGAATGTTACGAGAAACGACACACCTGCACAACCCACCTTGCTAGCGTGCTCTGCTGTGGTATTCTGTTGTGAGTTTTCTTAACGTTCAAAAATCGCTATATTATGCATTGGTCCGACTTACTTGCTGCATTTAAGGCTAGGGGCCCGTGAGATATAACTCGTTAGTTCGTGATAACATTACAATTTACAACACTGGTGACTCCCGACGTTGGCGCAGACTTAAGTTCTTTCCTTCTGTAAAGTTTAATGACATTTAACGCCCTGTATCTATTTGCTAAATTTTAGTTCATTTGCATTTCCCGCTAACCTTTTCACGATATTTTGCTACCTATATTTTGCTTATTATGTCTTCCTCAACTCAACAACCTGACGTTCCTGCCGAGTCTGTTCATGCCGTCCATTTCACTTTGCCCGATTTCTGGCAACACGCCCCTTAACTTTATTTTATCCGCATTGAGTCAGCCTTTTACTCCGCCAAAATTGCGAAGGAGTTGTCGAAATACCACAAACTTGTGGAGGTTCTCCCTGCCAAAATTCTCTCACAAGTTCAACCCTTATTAGTGAAACCCCCTGCAGACGCTTCATATTCTGCTCTGAAGGCGGAAATCCTTCGTCTCAATGCTGTATCTCACCGACAACGCTACCACCAGTTGATCAAGGAGGAATCACTGGGCGACCGAAAGCCCTCAGAACTTCTCCGACGAATGCCTACTCTCTTAGGAGACATGCAGGTCGACGAGAAACTCGTTAAAGATATGTTTCTAGAGCGACTTCCTGCATATGTCCAAACGATTTTGGCATCCGGCTCGCAAGACCTTACACTTTCACATCTTGCTGAAATGGCAGACCGAATGATAGAGGTTCAACGGTTCCAGCCACCTTCCTTGCTCAGATTTCCACATCCTCTGCAACGGTTAACGAGCAGTTACTGCAACAGATGTCGGCTATGGCGAATGAGATAGCCTCCCTAAAAGGACAGCTTGCTCGCATTACCTGTAGTCGCTCACCCAGCCGTCATCGTTCACGTTCGCGACCTCGCACAGCCAATTTGTGTTGGTATCAAGCAAACTTTGTCGCCAAGGCTGGCAAATGTTCTTCCCCTTGTTCATTTAAATCGAAACAGGGAAACCAGCCAGCCAGAGAATAGACGCGACCGTTTTCTCTGGCTCTCCCAGCTCAGATCGCACCTTTTATGTCTGCGACAATATGACTCGCAGGCGTTTCCTGGTGGAAACCGGAGCCCAGATCGGCGTGGTTCCCCCCACTCCAGTTGACCGCCGCTGTTCCAGCCCTGGTCTACATCTCCAAGCTGCAAACTGTTCCCCCCTTTACACTTTTGGTAGTCGTTCACTTACCCTAAGCATTGGTTTACGTCGATCATTCTCCTGGATATTTGTGATTGCCGATGTGCCTCATGCAATCCTTGGTTCCGACTTCCTTGCCGAGTTTGATCTTGTTGACTGTCGGCGTTCCTGTCTCGTCGACCGCACAACTGGTCTTTCTGTCCGCGGTCTTACACCCTTTAATGACTCCAGCAATTTATCTGTTCTGGACACAGGTATTGGCCGCCTATGCCGAGACCTGCTCCTCCAACACCCCAACATAATCAAACCCCAGTTTCGCAGTGGTGATGTCCAGCATGACGTTGTCCACCACATTCGCACCTCTGGCCCATCAGTATTCGCACGGCCTAGACGACTGGCTCCGTCCCGTCTGGAAGCGGCGAAGGCCGAATTTGAGCACATGCTGCAACTGGGCATAATTCGCCCGTCCGAGAGTCCATGGGCGTCCCCTCTGCATATGGTGCCCAAGGCGACATCAGACGACTGGCGGCCCTGTGGTGACTATCGCGCCCTCAACAATGCGACCATCCCGGATCGTTATCCCGTCCGTCATCTTCAAGATTTTGCTGGAGCTCTTTTCGGCAAATTGGTTTTCTCGAAGATTGACCTTGTTCGGGCCTTTCATCAGATTCCTGTCGCTCCTGAGGATGTTCCCAAAACTGCCGTCACCACACCATTCGGCCTGTTCGAATTTATTCGCATGCCATTTGGTCTTCGCAATGCTGCCCAAACATTTTAGAGGTTCATTGACCGAGTCCTACGTGGTCTCCCGTTTGTGTACGTCTACATCAATGACCGCTTGGTGGCCAGTCGAAATGCCGAGGAACACAAAGAGCATCTTGCCTTAGTTTTTGACCGCCTCGATCAGTTTGGCGTGGTCATTAACACTTCGATGTGTGTTTTGGGTGTGCCGTCACTTGATTTTCTTGGTCACTATGTCGATGCACAAGGTTTGCGTCCTCTCTCTTCCAAGGTTTAGGCCATTCGTGACTTTCCTCCAACAACCTCCAAGCGTCAGTTGCAACGTTTCCTTGTCATGGTAAACTTTTATCGCCGGTTCCTACCGAACTTTTCCGACCTTATGCTGCCACTCACCAACTTGCTCTCTGTTCCCAAGGGTCCCCTTGAATTACGTGGCCACGCGCTGACTGCTTTTGAGAGAATAAAGACCTCCCTTGCTGATGCTACCTTGCTCACTCATCCTGCTCCAGAAGCCCCATTGTCCCTGATGATTGATTCTTCGACCGCTGCCGTAGGAGCAGTTCAGTTCAGTTCAGTTTATTTGAGGGAAATATAGGTGTTAAACCTTTGAACTCCCTATTTGTTACAAGGAGGCGAACAATAAAAAAAATTTGAAAATTGAAACATCAAACGGCTACAGAGTTTCTTCAAATTGGCAACGTTTTGTAAGCCAGACAGATAAACGAATTGTTTCAAGAGTTAAAAACATTAACGTTACTAAATGTGCTGTACAGTAGTCTGCCTAGGGATAGTTGGTGCTATCTCAGTTTCGGAGGGAGACGAATTGAATGCCAACACACATTTAACAGACATGGGACAATATTAAAAAACAAACGTTACTGAAATATAGGAAGTAATATAACAACATTAATAAACTGTTCGAACGCAATGCTAGACAATCTGTCAGGTGGCATTGTGACGATTGGTGGCAATCTGGTCCAAGTTGCGCTTAAAAGCCTCGACGGAGGTGAACATGACGACACCTGCAGGCAGAGCATTCCATGCCTCGATCACTCTGTTTGAAAAGAAGAACTTCCGAATGTCCAGCTTGGCGCCAGTTACGCGTAGTTTAAGTGGATGACCTCGGAGGTTCGTTGTGGTCTCTAACTCAAAGAAATCAGTAGGTACGAGACAGCAGTCCTGGCCGCGCAGTATACGGAATGTTTGTATAAGGTCGCCTCTTAGCTGTTTGTAACTCAGTAGAAAGAGACCGAGATTGGACAATCGGGTTTCATAGGGTAGTGAACCCTGTCCACCTACGAGTTTGGTTGCCCGCCTCTGAACTTTCTCGAGGATGCTGAGATCTTTAGAGGTCCACGGTTTCCACGCCTGAATGGCGAACTC